TAGGGTACAGGGGTGGTAGAGGGCAGGGGGCAACCACAGGAAAATCAAACAACACAGGGAAACAAAGAAACAAAAGTGAACAGAGGATGCAAAAGAAGAGCTACTCAGCTGAAAATTGAATAAGAGCCTCTGCTAGCAAAGAACAGTAGGCTGTGCAAATTTGAGAGCAGGAGCTCTCAAACTCACTGAGTACTGTGGTGGAGGAGGCCAATTCAGGGGTAAAAATAGGGGTAAAACTAGGATTTTGTGCCAAGATGGGGGTAAAAGGAGGAATAAAGTTCTGAAAATTGGTGACAAGGTTTAAAGTAAATTATTAAACAGGAATCTCTGTGCAGGAAAAAGGAGGAGTGGTGGTTGTTTTTGCTTGCAGGTGGATTAGGGAACATGGCTTCTCTGAACATCATGCACTTACCATCAAAGTCAGTAGCACACTGTAGGTTAAAAGACAGGGGAGGAGTTTTGAGGGACTTAGTTGGTCTAGTATACTTAACTGCAGTAAAGATATCTTGACCCCTAGCAAAGTTGAGGAAACCCTTCCAGCAGTTAGATTTGCTGTCTCTGATTTTCCTAAAGTACCTGTTCCTAGATCTTTTGTAGTCAGTGTAGGCAGTCTCAAGTCTGGAGTGTTTCCATATTCTGCAGCATTTGGCCATCTCAGTCCTCATACTAGCAAGTTCTTCAGTCCACCAGCTCTTTGATCTAGAGCAAGGTTTGCTAAGAGGAACATGTAGAGAGAGAGACTGGTGAATTGAGTCTGTGAGAATACATGCAGCCTGGTCTAAGGATTCAACTGTACCATTATCAAGCAGGAGAGTAAATGTAGAGGAAGACTTAGCCATTAATTCCTGTAGTGTCTTGTGAAAAGATTTCCAATCTGCTGCCTTCCAGTTTCATTTGTTGCTCATAGGACTTGGAACTCAGCAGTTAGCATCTAATACTAGGGAGAATCTTACCACCTCATGGTCACTTCCAGTATGTGCATCCTGATCCACAGCCCAGTCAACTAGCCTGTCAAAGATATCAGGAGTGCCTAGTGTTAACTCCAATATTGAAGTCCCATTTCCTTGTCTGTAGTTGTAGGTAGGAGTATCAGGGTAGTTGACTAGATCACACCTGTTAGCTATAAACCAGTCCACTAGAGAGTCACCTCTGATTTGCTGTTGAACTTCAGAATTCCACCAGGGATGATGGGCATTGAAGTCACCACAAAGGATTGAGGATGGTGGTAGCTGAATGTACTGTAAAGTTCTGTCCATAGTATAGACTGGTCTAGAGTCTGGTGTTAGTTTTCTTCTTTCATTATAAATATTCCAAAGGGTAAACTTCTCTGTTCCAGCTGGAATCTGGACTGGAAGGATATCACCATCAAGGTGAGGAAGAAGGTCAGCTCTATAAGAACAAAAGATATCTTGTCTGGATTTGCTAATGTAGGCAGCAGTTCTAGGTTTTTCACCATCAGCAGTATCAGGTAGAATAGAATCAAAGGAGGTGTGAGAGTAAGGAGTGCCATCAGATGCCAGCCAGGGCTCTTGAATCAAAATAATATCTGCTTTGCCATTAGTGTAGTGAAGGAGAGAGGTCAGAACTTCATAAGTCTTTACACAATTGTGCTGGATAATAGAGATTGGCTTGCCTCTCATAAGGAATGAGAGGGGTTGTCAGCAGCAGCAGGTTCAGGTTTCTTGACAATATTCCTATAAACCTCACACCTTAAGTCAGTAGATTTGTGAGATCCCTCACAGTTAGCACACTTGAACTGGGTATGAGAACACTCCTTGTTAGCCTGATAGGTAGAGCATTGGTGTAGCCTAGTGGGGTGAGTTCCACCACAGAGTTGACACCTAGAATCCTGCCTGCAGAGTTTCTGATGATGTCCAAACTTCTGACAGTTTCTGCATTGTGAGGTGGGTCTGGTGTCCATGAACTCTGAAGTTCTTACAGAAGTTCCTGCAATCACAAGTCTATTTCTCAGTGCATGCTTCAATTCTCTTGCAGTTTTAAAAGAAAGAACTAGGGAGGAGTGTAACTTTCCTGTGCTGGCCTCTGCTCTGGTCAGCCATCTGGGTGGAGCAGCCAGATGAATATCCTGGTTGTAGGTCTCAATGTCCTCTCTGAAGGCTTCCATTTTCTTCTCCCCACCGTCTGCCACAATCATGTCAGTAGAAACAGAGTGTGCAACCAACTTGTACCATTTCTCCCTGACAACCACTTCCTGTAATCCAGGTACCAGATGGCTCCAGACAGTTTCCTGCTCCTTCAACTCAGCTGCAGTGTTTCCCGGCTTCACTTCAATAACAAGGTTGTTATTAACCAATAGCCTGACCAGAACCACAGTAATGTTCAAGTCAGCCTTCTGTAAGGCTTGATTCATGGCTTCTCTGATCTGAAGTTAGTAGAAGTTGGTAGGAGGGTGGGTGGATTTGAGGATCAGGATCCTCTCAGGCTCAGGCACAAGATCAGGGGATCTTTAAGGAGGCTTAGACTTGGTGACAGAGGTAGAGGTGACTGATTGATTCTGTTTAACAATGTTAGCCCAGGTCTTAGTAGAGGAGGAATAAGGGGGATTGGTGGTAGCAGAGGTGGTGGTAAGCTTGTCCAAGGTGGTCAAGATAGACTCCAAAGTCTTTTCCTACTTGTGTAGTCTGACTTCAATTTCAGCTGGGATTGGGGACGGACTCTCAGAGTGGTTATTGTTAGGATAGCTGCTGATGTTAGTAGTAAGTTGGGAGAGAAACTCCTGTTGAGCAGGGGTATAGTGCATCTTATTGGCCTTAATTTCACCAACCAGCTCATGTAAGAACTGTTCAAAGATGGGATACTGAGGCCTCTGAGCTGAGGTAGGAGGAGGAAAGGAATAAGTGTAGTCCATATCTGGAGACCAGGAACTAGATGCAGGTGGTCTTTGGGCAGGAGTAGGCAGGACAGGAGTTGCACCAAAAACTTCTTGTAGCTTACTAGAAGCAGGAGTAGGTGAAGGGCTAACAGGTCTTCTCTTATGTCCCCTTTTAAGAGCTGGAGGAGAGTATTAGTGGGAAAGGGTATTAAGAAGTGTCTGGGGATTAGGGCCAAGGGTAGAGGGTAAAGGACTACTACCATTCAGTGGAACTGTAATAGAGGTAGTCCTGTAGTGGGTTGGGTAAACTGGCATAATAGGCCCAAAAATGCGAAAATTGCTAAGTCCTTTCTACAGTGGACCAGAGTAGGGAGGGAGTATGCAGGGGTAGAGTACAGGGGTGGTAGGGGGCAAGTGGCAACCAGAGGAAAATCAAAACAACAGGGAGGAACAAGGAAAGAAAACTAAGCAGAGGATGTGAAAGAAAAGCTACTCAGCTAAAAATTGAACAGGTGCCTCTGCTAGCTAAGAACAGTAGGCTGTTCAAATTTGAGAGCAGAAGCTCTCAAACTGACTGAGTTCTGTGTTGAAGGGGCCCAATTCAGGGGTAAAAATAGGGGTAAAATCAGGATTTAGTGCCGAGATGGAGGTAAAAGGAGGAATAAAGTTCTCAAAATTGGTGAAAAGGTTTAAAGTGGTTTATTAAACAAGAATCTCTGTGCAGGAAAAAGGAGGAATGTTGGTTGTTGAGAAAATTTATGGGGGGGGTCTTGGTTGCTATGAACAAGGGGAGTTGATATGAATGGGAGGAGACAGAGGTGGAGAGATTGAGAGAATGGAGGATGGCAGCAGGCCAGGTGGAGGAATAGAATGAAATTAGTGCCATGAGCAAGAGTGACAGGGGAGTTGGTAGTAAGGTCATTGGTTTTGTTGTGAAAATGCATCAGATCTGTCTTGGGATCATCAAATACTATTACATTGTTAGCTGCCCAACTCCAGGCCCTTCTGGCTACCACCTCCAATGCCTTGGAGTTGGTCTGCTCAGAGGGGCCTGTGACTACAAAAGCAATATCATCAATGAAAGAGGGGGATCTTAGCTGTGGAGTTAAAACTCCTGGCTCCATGTCCTTGAACAAGTTTGTCAAGTAGAATAGAAAGAGGATTGGTGAAATGGGAGAGCCTTGAGGAATACCTGTGTTGACTGGTAGGAGAGGTTGTCTTTGTCCATCAAAAGCTAACCCCAGTTGTCTGTTGGAGAGGAAGCTGTCTGTCCAGGTAAGAATAGGGGAAGGAAATCCTAAAGACTGTAGCACCAAGAGTAGTTGTATTTTGCTAACATGGTCAAATGCACCTTTGACATCAACAAAGAGGGCAGAAAGGACTTTACCATTTAACTTGGCCTGCTGAATATCATGTGTTAATGCCATCACTGCATCCACTGCACTTCTTCCTTTCCTTCCTCCAATTTGCTCTTAGTGTAGCAGCCCTTTAGTTTCTGCAATGTAGGCTAGTCTGTTGGCCATAATCTTTTCTGAAATCTTTCCTAAGCAGTTTAGCAGAGAGACAGGTCTATAGGCTTTGGGGGTAGTATAGTCTGCTTTGTTAGGTTTCCTGATTATAGCTCCAGTTGCCTCTCTCCAGCCTTGGGGATAATAACCTGTCTTCAGTACAGCTTGAAACAACTTAACAAGAGGTATAGGAATTGCATGATACACTTGCCTCAGACAAAGAAAGTTAATACCATCAGGTCCTGGAGCTTTGTGAGGTGCAGATTTGAAGATTGTATCTTTTACCTCAGTGTCAGTAATATCATACCAGGGAAAACACGTATCTATTTCTGTGTCCTCATGGCTGAAAGTTGGTTTGCTGGCAGGTGGATCAGGGAACATGGCTTCTCTGGACATCATGCACTTACTATCAAAGTCAGTAGCACACTGTTTGTCAAAAGAGAGGGGTGGAGTTTTGAGGAACTTAGTTGGTCTACTATACTTAACTGCAGTAAAGATATCCTGACCTCAAGCAGTGTTGAGGAAACTCTGCCAGCAGTTAGCTTTGGAGTCTCTAATCTTCCTAAAGTATTTGTTCCTAGATCTTTTGTAGTCAGTGTAGTCAGTCTCAAGTCTGGAGTGTTTCCATTTTCTGTAACATTTAGCCATCTCAGTTCTCATGCCAGTAAGTTCCTCAGTCCACCACCTCTTTGATCTAGAGCAAGGTTTGCTAAGAGGAACATGGAGGGAGAGGGACTGGTGGATTGAGTCTGTCAAAATAGAGGCAGCCTGGTCTAAGGATTCAGCTGTACCATCATCAACGAGAGGAATAAATATAGGAGAAGACTTAGCCATCAATTCCTGAAGTGTTTTCTGAAAAGACTCCCAGTCTGCTACCTGCCAGTTGAATTTGTTGCTCATAGGACTTGGAACTAAGGTGTCAGTATTCAATACCAGAGAGAATCTTACCACTTCATGATCACTGCCAGTATGTGCATCCTGATCTACTGCCCAGTCAATAAGTCTTTCAAAGATATCAGGTGTAGCCAATGTTAAGTCTAAAATTGAAGTCCTATTCCCATGTGTGTAGTTGTATGTAGGTGTATCTGCACCGTTGACTAGATCACATCTGTTAGCTCTAAACCAGTCTACTAGTATGTCACCCCTGATTTGTTGTTCAACTCCAGGGTTCGACCAACTATGATGAGCATTGAAGTCACCACAGAGGATAGAGGATGGAGGTAGTTGTAGGTATTGTAGGGTTCTATCCATAGTATAGACTGGTCTAGAGTCTGGTGTTAGTTTTCTTCTTTCATTATAAATATTCCAAATGTTCCAGCTAGAATCTGAAGTGGAAGGATATCACCATCAAGGTGAGGAAGAAGGTCAGCTCTATAAGAACAAAAAACATCCTGTCAGGATTTGCTAATGTAGGCAGCAGTTCTAGGTTTTCCACCATCAGTAGTATCAGGTAGAATAGAATCAAAGGAGGTGTGAGAGTAAGGAGTGCCATCAGATGCCAGCCAGGGCTCTTGAATCAAAATAATATCTGCTTTGCCATTAGTGTAGTGAAGGAGAGAGGTCATAACTTCATAAGGCTTTGCACAATTGTGCTGGATAATAGAGATTGGCTTGCCTCTCATAAGGAATGAGAGAAGTTGTCAGCAGTAGCAGGTTCAGGTTTCTTGACAATATTCCTGTAAACTTCACACCTTAAGTCAGTAGATTTGTGAGATCCCTCACAGTTAGCCCTCTTGAATAGGGTATGTGGACACTCCATGCTAGCCTGACAGGTGCAGCATTGGTGTAGCCTAGTGGGGTGAGTTCCACCACAGAGTTGACACCTAGAATCCTGCCTGCAGACTTTCTGATGATGCCCAAACTTCTCACAGTTTGTGCATTGTGAGGTGGGTCTGTTCTCCATGAACTCTGAAGTTCTTACTGAAGTTCCTGCAATCACAAGTCTATTTCTCAGTGCATGCTTCAATTCTCTAGCAGTTTTAAAAGAAAGAACTAGGGAGTAGTGTAACTTTCCTGCTCTGGCCTCGCCTCTAGTTAACCATCTAGGTGGAGCAGCAAGATGAATGTTCTGCTTGTAGGTCTCAATATCCTCTCTGAAGTCTTCCATTTCCTTCTCCTCACTATCTGCCACAATAATGTCAGTAGAAACAGAGTGTGCAACCAACTTGTACCATTTCTCCCTGATAATCACTTCCTGTAATTCAGGTACCAGATGGCTCCAGACAGTTTCTTGCTCCTTCAACTCAGCTGCAGTGTTTCCAGGATTTACTTCAATAACAATATTGTTATTAACAGACAGCCTGACCAGCACAACAGTAATGTTCAAGTCAGCCTTCTGCAAGGCTTGATTCATGGCTTCTCTGATCTGAAGTTGGTTGAAGTTGGTAGGAGGGTGGGTGGATTTGAGGATCAGGGTCCTCTCAGGCTCAGGGACAAGATCAGGGGATCTTTTAGGCGGCTTAGACTTGGTGCCAGAGGTAGAGGTAACTGATTGATTCTGTTTCACAATGTTAGCCCAGGTCTTAGAAGAGGAGGAAGATGGGGGATTGGTGGTATCAGAGGTGGTTATCCGCTTGTCCAAGGTGGCTAAGATAGTTTCCAAAGTCTTTTCCTGCTTGTTTAGTCTAACTTCAATTTCAGTTGGGATTTGAGAATCACTCTCAGAGAGGCCAGTGTTAGCATAGCTACTGATGTGGGTAATAAGTTGAGAGAGAAAATCCTGTTGAGGAGAGGTATAGTACATCTTGATGGCCTTAATGTTACCAACAAGCTTATGCAAGAACTGTTCAAAGATGGGGTACTGAGGTCTCTGAGCTGAGGTAGGAGGAGGAAAAGAATAAGAGTAGTCCATATCAGAAGACAAGGAACTAGATGAAGGTGGTCTTTGGGCAGGAGTAGGCAGTACAGGAGTAACATGACAAACTTCTGGTAGTTGGCTAGAAACAGGAATGCCTGAAGGGCTAACAGGTCTTCTCTTATGTCCCCTCTTCAGAGGGGGAGGAGTCTGTTACTGGGGTAGGGTATTGATAGGGGTTTGGTGATTGGAGCCAAGGGTAGAGGTCAAAGGACTACTACCATTCAGTGGAACTGAAATAGCGGTGGTCCTGTAGTGGGTGGAGTGGACAGGCTTAATAGGCTCAAAAATGCGAAAATTCCTAAGTCCCTTCTGCAGTGGGCCAGAGTAGGGAGGGACTATGCAGGGGTAGAGTACAGGGGTGGTAGGGGCTAAGTGGCAACCACAGGAAAATCAAAACAACAGAGAGAAACAAAGAAACAAAAGTGAACAAATGATGTAAAAGAAGAGGTACTCAGCTGAAAATTGGACAGGTACCTCTGCTAGCTAACAGCAGTGGGCTGTCCAAATTTGAGAGCAGGAGCTCTTAAACTGACTGAGTTGTGTATTGAAGGGGAACAATTCAGGGGTAAAAATAGGAGTAAAATCAGGATTTTGTGCCTAGATAGGGGTAAAAGAAGGAATAAAGTTCTGAAAATTGGTGACAAGAGTTAAAGTGAATTATTAAACAAGAATCTCTGTGCAGGAAAAAGGAGGAGGGTTGGTTGTTGAGAAAACTTGTAGGAAGGGACTTGGTTGCCGTTGTTGTTTCCTGGTTATATCCAGAGCGGCAAGGTGTTCGGTTAGCCTATCGGTCGCCTTCCTGTAGTCTGAGTGTGAAATTTCCATCATGTGGATTATAACAGGGAAAGCCTTTCCAAATCTGTTTGGTGCTGTATATCCCTGTGACTCAAAGAACTCATCGAACCTGCTCATGAAAGCCCCATTGGGCTCATTATAGTTATCCTGTGAGTATCTTGGTAGACTTGTAGTGGTAGTACTGCATGGTCGTTTATGAAAGGAGGGGCGCTGAGGCCGAAAGATAGGTAATAGCTGACCCTTTGAAGTCCCAGCAGGCTGTGTAGGAGGTTGCAGAACGAGAAGTAGTGATGACCCCATGATGGAGATAATGAGGAGAAACTTTGACCCCAGTGAGGCCAAAGAAAAGGTATCATGGTAGATAAGATAATTCCCTGGCACGTAAGAAAGGGTGTCCAAATAATATCTATGTTTGTTTATACTCCTCGCGTCAAAACATGACTGATGATCAAGCACCCCCCCGACAGGAGAATAACACCTGTCGGGATCCACCGATGGGACTGGGGCCCTGCTACCCCCGCTAAAAACAGGCAACTAAATACAAGATACCAATCCTCCGTCCCCATATCATTAACCACCTCAGTGAGCAAGCCCCAACACTAAAGTTAAAGTACAAGTCTATCAACAGTCCGGCATCCATCCGCTCCACCTAGCCAGGCCACGGAAATCCCAGCACAATCAAGAAATCACTACCACTGGTAGCATTGCCCCTGCCTCGCAGCTAAAATCCTCGTAATGTCATAACAAAATGAATTCACTAAAGTCAACCCCACCGGGCACCCAAGAAAGCGTTCTAATACTGTCCCTTGGAAGGGCCATGACAAAGGGGCAGTACAAAGCCAGTCTCCCCTAAGCAATCAATTGAGACAGGCCTAACAGCCATACCTCTTGCACCGTAATAGCCAACCCAAGGCACCCCTAGGGCACTATCATTATAGGTATCCCACCCTATGTTGAACCAACCATATCCACCTCTTCTTCATGTTCCTCCAAGGCCTCAGATTCGTGGGTATCTGGACAGGGGCGAGAAGGGCAAACAGGTGAATGGTATTCGTGTGGGCCATCACAGTTCACACACCTGAGTGTGGCATGGCTGCAAGGACGGCCACGAAGACGGCAGGTAGCGGTAGGGCAGGAGTGATCCCCAGTAGGGTGAGAAAGGATGCACCAGCGGCAGGAAGGAGGCAGGATGCATTTGATGCTATGGTGGCCAAATATGTGACAGTTAGCACACTGGGTGTATTTGTTGAAGTGTAAACGGCGTTCGGTACGGTAGGTGTTGGAGAAGGCAGAGAGGCGTTTGCCAACAAAAGAAGGAGCCCTGGGTCCAGTGATGGAAATAACAGGGGTCAGGGCAAGTTTGCCGATGCGTGCTACATCTGAGGTAAGCCACCGAGGCTGTTCGGTCAGAGATAAGCCTGAGTTGAAGATGGTAAGTTCTTGGACAAACCATGCCAGAGGGGTGGAGGTAGCGATACCATGTACCAGAAGCTGGGTGGCAGGGGTATCGAGGTGGACAGTAGAGGCACCAGGAATGAGGTGTAAAAAGGTGCCAACTTTGCTGTTGACAGTGGTCGCTCTAACCATGTCCATCGTAGTGAGCCTGACATGGCTGTCCAAGAAGGAGACAGACTGGATGACAGTGGAGGCCAGGGCCTGGTTGATGCTATCACGTAGCTGTACAGTAGTAGAGGTAATGGGGGCAGGGTCTCTTTTGATGATGTGCCGACGCTCGCGCATGGTGAGGCCCTTTTTCTTGTCGGTAAGGGGCTTAACCGAGGGCGAGGAGGGTTTGGCTAGCTTGGGGCCAGGCTTTGGGAGTTTTTGAGAAGGCTTCCTTGCCCTCCTAGTGACGGTAGCCCAAGAAGGGGGAGCTGCCGGGCCAGGAGGTGGGGTATGGGGAAGGGTAGAAGGTGAAGGAGGGACAGAGGCCTGCTCTGTAGTATCGGTGGTAGGAGGTACCGGCGAGCCAGTGGTAGGAGCAGGCTGAAATAGAGTGGAGGCGCCAATGGCATCCAACTCCTCCGTGAGGGCAGTGATGTGCTCGGTTAGCCTATCGGTCGCCTTCCTGTAGTCTTCGTGCAATATTTGCAACATGTGAATTAGGATGGAAAAAGATCTTCTAAAGGTGTAAGGTGTTTCAACATGATCCTTTTCTGCCAACAGTTCAAACATTTACATGAAGGCGCCATTAGGAGTGTCAAAGACAGCATTTGAGTGTCGTATGGTTTTAGTGGTGCCACTTTGTGGGCGTTTAAGCGAGGGGGGGCCCTGAGGCCGAAAGATAGGTGGAAGCCAACCCTGTGAAGCCCTGTCAGGCTATGTAGGAGGTTGCAGAATGAGAGGGGGTGATGACCCCATGATGGAGATAATGAGGAAAAACTTTGACCCTAGTCGGGCCAAAGAAAGGTATCGTGTTGGATAAGATAATTCCCTGGAACATAAGAAAAGGTGTTCAAAGGAGATTACCTGATTGTATGCAGAAAGTAAAATATAAAGGGGCACATCCCTTTATATATTAAGAAATCCCTCCATGATCACTAATACAAAAGCAAGTCCTTGGAGTCGCGTGCAGCCGCAATCCCTCTATCCAGTTCCATCAGCCTCCAACGTGTGGCAACACATCCCTATCATCATTCAAAGGAAATCTCACACAACAACCAAG